AGAGAGAGAGAGAGAGAGAGAGAGAGAGAGAGAGAGAGAGAGAGAGAGAGAGATGAAATAAGAGACAAAGACACTCTATTTATGGATGATTTTGACATTAATTATTATTCGTGGACATAGAAGTAATTATCTGTTCATGTTCCTGAGATAGCTAACGTCTTCGTATATGGCTCCCACTTCTCAACCTCATCGTCACAACTGTAACAAACAGGGCGAGAGAGAGAGAGAGAGACAGAGAGAGAGAGAGAGAGAGAGTTGCAATGCCATATGAACAGCAAATACACAAGGAACCCCGCATAAGGATGAGGTTGGGAAGTGGGTGCCACTTACACCAGAATACACCTACAACGTCTTCGTATATGGCTCTCACTTCCCAACCTCATCGTCATAAGTGTGGGTGGAGAGAGAGAGGGAGAGAGAGGGGGGTAATTAAAGGGAGGGAGAGAGAGAGAGAACGTATTTGGCCCCGAAAGGGTGGTCACAGCTAGCATGTATACATGATGCTCACTTCAACAATGTGTATGAGAGTGTCAGTGTACCGTCATTGTGTATGTGTCCGGGGGGGAAGGAGTCACAAGCTTGGGAGGTGTGCATGTTCATCTCTTCTTTGTTGTCTGGAATGAGTGAGTCATGGAATTTATCGACCGGAATGCTCCCCTCTGCTCTAATGTGACACATACATGCATGAATATGAATAGAGAGGTCTCCGACAGACAAGCACCATAAATCCAAACATAACACCATCACATTTCCAACACGATTCATCACACCACCATCACATTTCCATCACGATTTCCAACATAAAGTCATGTGTTCAACTGTTGATAAACAGTTTATCAGCACATAGTTCAACCTTCCAAACGTAGTTCAACAGAATATAAACAGATTCTCAACAGTTTATCAACACAAAGTTCAACTGTTTATCCTGTCACTTCATGTGGACTACATAAGTCACGCACGTTGGTTTCCTTCACTTCCTGTAGACCATGGTGCATGTGTCAGGATAAACAGTTGAAAAACCATTTTTAAGCGGTTGTTCGGGGGTGAGGTCCCACGATCAACAAAAAAAGAAAACGGCGATAATTTTTCTGTTGTAGGTGCTGCAAGGGGATCTCCTTGCCTCACTAATCTTGACATCTTGTAAGTATTTGATGTATGGTCATTTACTTGTACCGCTCCATAGGCGTCATAGTATAAAATTTTAACCCGCTTTCGAAAAATGGGTCCCACCCCCTTTTTCCCCATGCATTGTTGTAGGAACTCCCAGTAAGCCTTGTCATAGTTTTTTTCGAAGTCAAACAAGATGATGGTTGTGTTGATTTTCTTCCCATTGATATATCTTACTAATTTCGTTAATGTCATAACATTATCTAGTATGAATCTGTCTGGAATGAAACCCGTTTGGTCTATGTGGAAACATGACTTGGTTATGTTCCTTATTCTATTTGCTAGGAGCTTAGCTAGGATTTTGTATGCTACCGTTCGTAGTGTAATTGGTCTATAGTTCCTCGTGTCCGTAAAATCTCTTTTTTTGTATAGTAGTGTGACTATTTTCGTACTTACGTAGGGACTCAGTCCTTCGTTGGCCCAGGCTGTTCTCATGAACTTGCAAAATTTCTCTCCTAGTAGTGGTCAGTAAGATTGCCATAATTCTTTGGATAAACCGTCTAACCCCGGAGTTTTTCTTGGTTTCATCGAATCCAAAGTTTTTTTATTTCTTCGTTAGTTATGAGCATGTCCAGTTGGTTAGCCAGATTTTCGGGGATTGTTTCGTCCAGATGCTTGGTAAATTTCACTTTTGCCTAAAAGTACTGACCCAAAATCAAATCCTAATAGAGCGCAAAACCAAACTTATAAAGAGCAACTCCTTCTCATCCCCAAATTCACAGGCTACAAGTTATACTACCCACGTGTCTCAAAAAACGAATAACAAAAAACTCAATCCCTCTAATGCTCTACCAAATCCCAAGAAACCCAAACAAACTATCAACACCAACTCTATTTCAGTACAAGAATTATCCCCGGTTAATCCACGTCAAAAACAAGTGGGATCAGTCGATTCTGTAAGCATGAAAACAAAACCACAAAATTAGAGAATCGATCGAGTTGCAATTCCAGAATTACACGTGATTAGCAAGTTATTCAACATCCCAACAATTAGTAAAGAAGGAACAATCATACCTAATTAGCAAAATATTTAATCTCTCTCTCTCCAAAACCTTTGGATTGTATCTAATCAACTATAAATAGCAACGTTTCGAAGAGAAAAAAAATAAATAAATAACAAGAAGCAATCGTAGTATCATAAATAATCCATAAATTACTAGTCCTATGGTAGAACAAACTAAAAATGGTCACATCATTACCCATCAGATTCTGCAAGTTCCGTTGCCAATGAGATCTGAAGAATCGTGAGGCGCAAAAAAACGTTGATCCAGCTGGAGAACGATGCAAGAAGTCAACAGCCTCATTGATATCCGCAGGGGTTCGCCGATAAGCACTCATCATTAGCCTGCGACTGTATCACATCACGACGCCCCCAAAGGGCAGCAACATCCATCGTGCAGCAAGAAGCTGGCAAACTCAGCATCGCTAATCACCGGCCATGGCTCATTAAAAACGCGAACAGTAAACCCGACAGTGTAGACGAAAGTTGTCATTATCAATGTTGCCAGCCACATGTCCAATCAGCATAAGGTAATGGGAATAGGTTTCGTATTTGTAACCAGGGGGCAACACCCCTGATCAGGTTGCAATTATGACGAAAACGGCACGCAGATCCTGCCCTTGGACCGCCCTCACAGCTTCCTGCATCCAGTCACAGTCATCCAAGATTATCAACCAAGGTCGGCCAAGACTAGGCTATGGCAGAGGCGTGGTAGCACCTCCTCGAAGCGGCTTCCCCTTCGGTATGCGCCCTGAGATCCCCTCCGCTCCCGCCACCCCCAACAACAAGCTCTGGCACGGTACAGCCATGCCCGCGGTTGCACCAACGCGATCCCCCGTTGCCCACACACCGTAAGGGACGCGTTGGCGCTGCCGCGCCACTTTTTCCACAGCGCTTGAACCGAATGCCAACGCCATCGGTGAGGACAACCTCACCCCTGCGCCCAGTGCCGTCGAAACCCAGGGCGGCGCCTCGCCCGTCACGACTGCATGCACCCTACCTCCAAAAGAGGAAAGCCGGAAACCGCCTTCCCAAAATCACTACGACCTGCATCACCGTGCCTCCAGTCTTCCCTCTCCACACTCTACAACCGGTCTTAGGGACGACTACGACTGGACCCTTTTTCTGCTATCGGAAACCCCAAACAAACCCGTCCTGGACTCTTCCCCTTTTTCTGCTATAGAAAACCCCAAACAAACCCGTGATGGACTCCCTGTACCGCACGACCTTACCTGAAGTAGAAAGCACACGAAACGCCGAAAATGCAACCCACACAAGCGCAGCCTCCTGGCTGCGAACACTCCAGACACGCACGCCGCTGGCACTAGAGGCACAGTTATAGAGGCACAGCTACCCGCCTGTGCCTCAGCGGTACAGACCTGGAATGGAACTCTTGATAAACTGAGCAATTTGTTCAAATCGTGGGCATTCCTGGGCAGTGGCAGAGAATACACGGCACACAGCGAGGAAACAGCGAGGGAACAGCGAGGAAAAGATGACAATCTGAATGGTTGAGCGTGCAACACAAGTCTCCGACACAATTGGAAGGACAAAATTCGCCCGGTGAGAGTGGCCTGGTCTGTTCACGACCCGGTGCAGATCATGCACTCTCCCCAAGTGCACGTCCAGTTGCATTGCGAATGGGCTAATTTTTGCACTTTGCAAAACGAAAAGAATGTACGATCGTAGCCGTTGTTCACGAGGATCGGGCTCCGTCGTTTGCGGAGATCGGGCCTCCTGTCACCGTGATGCCAGATCGGGACATGACATTGTAGTGCACTCTCTCTCTCTCTCTCTCTCTCTCTCTCTCTCTCTCTCTCTCTCTCTCTCTCTCTCTCTCTCTGTGCCTACTTATGTGTTCCTCCCTGAACTCTCTCTCTCTCTCTCTCTCTCTCTCTCTCTCTCTGTGCCTACTTATGTGTTCCTCTCTGAACTATATTATGCTCAATTTGAGCGACGTAGAGAGATTGGCGATGGCGAGCTGTTTCAAAGTGACGATGACGAGCCAGTGAAGTACAACCAAGCCCTTAGGGAAAATTGGTGTCGACGCCTTGTGCCAGCCCCGTATTCGATCTACGTTAAAGGCAAGTACCTATTCGTTCTCCACCTCTCTCACTGGAAACCCTCCTCTTCCTCCCATTGTCACTATATCACTGGAGGACACCGTCAAACACTGCCTTCTGTACTACTTTCACATCCC